AAGAAAAATAAAGACGAAATCGTTTGACGCAATATTAGAAAAAAATGTGTTGGGGGTAATGAACATAAGAAATTATGCGTTGAAACCTATAAACAACAACTGTAGACAGAGTCAGGAAAGTTTTCAAAACAGGGTAACTCCTCTAACTTCCATTAAAAACATCCTCACATCATACTGTGGCGAGCCGTAATAGTGGGAATAATCATACAGTCGTAGTGGTGGTAGCAGTCAAGTCCGCAACCCGCAAATTGTTGAGAGAGGAAGCTGGTGGCGGTGACGGGGCTAGGTCATAATTGTAATAGTAGTGTCAGTATTAAAAGCCAAGCTCAGTTCTGGCCAACAGGTCGCTCTGTCCTGTCTGACACCCTGTGGGAGGGCTAATAAAGAACGAGGAAATTCTGGGCCAGTGAATTTATAAGCTAAATCATATTAGCTGAGGCAAAGGTAGCCAAGTTTCTGGGGCAAATATTTAAACACTGGTGTGTCTTGCGAGCAACAGCTGCCAGTTAAAAATTGTAGATATAATTACATCAATCTCGTAAAATTCGTTTGGATTAGAACGCGTAGCAGAGAGCCATTTTTTCTTCTTTTATTTAAATGCCTTTTTTAGTCGGTGTGCACGTTCAAAACACCTAAGAATGTCTCAAGTTCTGAAAAGAATTATTCTCACCATTCCATACATGATTATTCGTACCAGTATGTTCATCTTGGTCGATGGGAAACTGACTCCGTTATTACGTGGTCTGTAGGGAATTTTTGCCCAGGCCTACGGGCTCGGATACCCCACTTTAAACTCGGCCTTGTGCCACATCTTGCTGCGTGTGGTAGCGGGTAAATAATTATACTCACAACGTTTCGGGCGTTGTAACTTCCAAACTTCTTTAGGTGCCTGCCACCGAGTTCATGAGCACTTTTTTCTTTTCTTTTTTTTTTAACAGTGAGGTTTACGGTTCACTCTGTACAAGGCCCTGGTGCCACTCGAAATAGAGGGTGACAGCAGTTTATGCGAATACGAGGAATATAACGGTTAACTCAAAACTTGAACTGGTTAAGATTGATCGAGAAAACATTCTATTGGTATAGCTTAGCACAAAGCCGAAACTATAAAGCACACTGAGGATCGAACTCTCTACTCAGATCCAGCTAGACAAGCATGCTAGCTATTCTTGATAATAGATATTAATTATATTTTTACCGATAGCGCAAATTGTTATACATCGAGCACTATTTTATTAGCACAAGCAATCAGTGTGCGATATTCTATATATAACACTAATTCTGAAGCTGGTATAAATAAAATAAACTGTTGCAACTGCTTCTCACAATACAATGGAGAAACTTGCAGAAAGTAAAAAAACATAACCTATCTATGAACAACAAAAAAAATCTTATACTCAACAATTTAGCAAATGCATTTGAAATAAATTCAACCAAAACTACGATCTAAAGAATGTCCCACTTATTAAAAGAGAAAGTAATTTGCTTAGACGGAAAATTCTTGAGAATGCCGCTATTTTATCAAAATATAAATCTTCATTCCTTAAAGACTTACTTTTCCAACTCAACATACATGACCAAAAATGTTTAAAAAATTAAAAGAAAACGGTTAAATTCACAATCTATTATTTAACATATATAAAATAGTAGGTTGGTGCAAAAAATAATGTCGTTTTTTGACGTTCAACTTAACGTCAAAAACGACATTATTTTTGCACCAACCTAATACATAAATTCATCCCAAACTAATGTAATATGAATATTAATTACATTTTTCAAAAAATAGTGACTTTTGTTTACTAGATATTTTATTACGTCATCCTTCATAATTTACCTAGATTTTTCAGTTAACCTCATGAATATTTATGAGCATTCTTAAATTTTAAAATAATTTGTGAAACTAACGACACCTTTACTTTTATTTCTAAATACTCGTTGCAAAATAAAATTCTTATATCAAGACAATCAGATGATGAAACGCGTCGGCTAAGATAAGTTTTCCTTTTGTCTTTATAATTATATATATATATATATATATATATATATATAATTATTTATTTAAAAATTATAACATATATATTATAAAATCACTACAAAAATAGCCATTTTGTTTCAACACCTCTGGTGCCTTTTCAAGTAATGTTGAATGTAGAATAAAGTGTTTTAAAAGGTTCAAATTAATTAACCACCCCTCGTAAGGGGAAACGCTGTCACATGAGCTGAAATGACCAATCAAAATACAAGTATACGAGAATTCAAAAAACTTGACAATGATGTAAGGTTATAATAACTATTAAATGATTTAAAGTTAGAATAAATTCTATTTTAGTATAAACCTAACTAATAAGTATTAAATTGTACGATAAAATTTGAAATTAAAATTCGCTCTACTTTGTATTGAGCACTCTTTTAAGAATAGTAATTGTTGGTTATTGGAATTTATTCCGTATACACCAATCATATACTTGTGTATAATCATTTCATAAAATGGACATTTGTTTGACTTTTAAATACACTTTTGCTTTTCGCGTGTACCCATTTTGGGGAATAGATCCACTATACAAAGATTTAGATCATAATGTTTCGGGGGTGGGTGGCGAAAATTGAAGTTTTCTTGTTTATTTTGATAATTAATGGCACTAAGGTCACTTGTACTTAAAATCAGAAAGAGGTGAAATCTCTACGGCACATAATGAGGAAAGAGGGCATAGAAAATTTGACGCTCACAGGAGGGCAAGGGGACAGAATAGCAGCGCATGATGTATCTACTGATCTTTTTGTAAATTATTGGCAGAACAGGGATTAGGAGAGACAGCAAAAAGAGAACTCTTACTAAGAGTTACGAAGGACAGGAAGTTGTGGAGAGCCATGATCGCCAATGTCCTCGAGAAGAAGAAAACTAAGAAAGATTTTAGAGAAATAAAACCGTTCAACTTAACGAGACTGTCATAGACTGAGACTTGAAGATAAATCTAGTATTTTACTTTTATTTGTCAGTTTCAGCAAAAAGAGCCTTGGAGGATATTAAAGGGTTTATACCAAGACTTGGGTACCCTACTAGTGGTAAATCCGAATGCTAACACTCATTCTTATATTCTTGCATGTTGTTGTGTGAATTTTCGAACGAGTCACGATAAATGAATGTCCACATGGGGTGACCCCATACCTTGAGCGATTATTGAGCCTTAAACTCATTCCGGACCTTAAGTGGAACTCGTCCATACGATCCATCGATAAAGATGCAGAAAAAAGTAAGTACCAGAATCCTGGGTACCCGCGATTGATTTTCTGTTCTGGATACCTAGCCATGGAGCAAGACGAGTTAGTCGCCCAGCAACCAACTACATTATACCAGCTATGTTATGACATAGAACGCCTCCCTAATGACCTCCTAACCTTGATTCAGACCCGTGAAGGTTGACGTGATAGACACGTGAAAGTCCGAGCTAGCTCGCCCGAAAAAAAAAAATGGTTCTGTGAAGAGATATGAAAATTCAATGCATTAGAAAAGAGAGAAAAAAAAATTGTAGTTAACATTTAAAGTGGATCGATATTTTATCCAATAAAAATGTGCATGACATATTACATGAATATTTTTCATCCAATTAGAGTCCTAATTAATCAGCTATTCTCGGGAAAAATTATCTTTTGTTTAAGCCACCGAATTCTTATAAATAACCGAAATCTATTTCAATAAATCAATAATTGATAAGTTTTTTTGTTTTTTTTTTCAAATTGAGCAACATAGTTTTCTGATCTTCGATTTACTCAACTTTTCGTCCCACCCCCACCACCTTTCAATCAATTTTTACCGGTAAACGCATCGTAGCCAGTTCTTTTCTACCACAATCTGCTTTTCCCCCATACACGCATAATACGAAGAAAAACTGACTACAACGAACCAGATATACACTATCTACATACGAGGAGATGCTGAAATATTCTCTTATCGATCAATTCCTAAAATCCATCTAAATATCCAAACATAATATCCCCACTTTTTTAAGGACTCCTTATTCGAGCTAAGAACTTTTCGGGGTACCATCGTACATCCCTTGTACCCAACACTTAAAATTAAGAAAGTGTGGAAAGTTTATTCCCAGTATGAGGTACACGTATGGTGTTCTATACTACAGGCCTATTCATGCTACAACTAATAGCCAGAAATGGATGTCTATTGCACTAGCTCCTCGATACACTCGGAATGAGGCATTTTAGTTTCGGTTTGGGTCTACCATAGTAAGCTGCTGTAGTTTGCTTAAATACAAAGATTTTTTTTTTTTGCTTTTACACTTGGAATAACTTTAATTTATAATTATAAGACTTAATCTTTATTTATTTCGTTCAGACTTGCTGTATTATTCTATGTTTGTCGCAAAAAGCCTTTTGTAATATTCACTAAAAACATGTAATTTAAGAATCTTGAGCTTTTCACTTGGAAGTTTATTGAAGAGTTTTCATTCATAGCAAATATTCTTCTCTGTAATTTTTGTTATTAATATAAGCAAATAAACAAATGAGAAATTTAATTTGCGTAATCTGTATTTATGTTTCTAACAGATAAAAATTATATCGAATTTTTGCCACATTTCTCTTTTTTAAAGGAGAAAGCCATTTTTTAAAAATGTTGTTTACCTTTTAGCTTTTATCCAAAAAATTCTGAAATTCCAACAATTCTGGCTTTTAGTTGAACTATGACTATGCCTGTAGCATAAAACGCCATGTTTGTTAATTCTAAGTGTTTAACAAAAAAGTCTCTAATCAGTATTTACGTAGCCTCTTCGAGTTTTTATTTCATAGTATATTTTTTATTTGATTTTTGCACATACGTGTTATTTCCTAACTAAATAACATCAACTTGTACAACAGGTTAAATGAAGTTGAATTTCGAAAGATATTCATTTTATTTTTTGTGGGACGGTGTCAGTTTTGGGACCGGAAACAAAATATTGAATAACTGACCTATTCATAATGTGTCGTTTTTATCTCAAAATATAAAAAAATTAATTAATATTTTTTTGAGTGGATGAGAGAAATTTGCGAGAATTATTTGAGCAGCAAAAGATAAACAGATTCCGAGGGAGAGATAAAGAAAGGGGGGAGAGAGAGAGAGAGAGAGGATGAGATTCATTCAAGGACAGGTAAAGAAACTGAGAGAGAAAACAAGAGGAAAAGAAAGATGCTCAATAAGAGAGAGTCAGAAATGCAGAGAGAAAGATAGACAGATAGTGACAGAGAGAGAAACCTAGCTAGATACAGAGATAGATCTAGAAACACACACATTATATATATATATATATATATATATATATATATATAGAGAGAGAGAGAGAGAGAGAGAGGGAGAGAGAGAGAGACCCAGAAGCACAAAGTGAAAGAGAAAGAGACCGAGACGCACAAAGAGAGAGAGAAAGATAGACCCAGATGTAAAGAGAGAGAGAGAGAGAGAAAGATAGACCTAGGTAAAGAGAGAGAGAGAGAGAGAGAGCAAAAGTAGACCCAGATGTAAAGAGAGAGAGAGAAAGATAGACCCAGATGTAAGAGAGAGAAAGATAGACCCAGATGTAAAGAGAGAGAGAGAGAGACCCAGATGTAAAGAGAGAGAGAGAGAGAGCAAAAGTAGACCCAGATGTAAAGAGAGAGAGAGAGAGAGAGAGAAAGATAGACCCAGATGTAAAGAGAGAGAGAGAGAGAGAGAGCAAAAGTAGACCCAGATGTAAAAGAGAGAGAGAGAGAGAGAGAGCAAAAGTAGACCCAGATGTAAGAGAGAGAGAGCAAAAGTAGACCCAGATGTAAAGAGAGAGAGAGAGAAAGATAGACCCAGATGTAAAGAGAGAGAGAGAGCAAAAGTAGACCCAGATGTAAAGAGAGAGAGAGAGAGAGCAAAAGTAGACCCAGATGTAAAGAGAGAGAGAGAGAGAGCAAAAGTAGACCCAGATGTAAAGAGAGAGAGAGAGAGAGAGAGATATCTAGACGTACAGAGAAAGAGAGAGAGATCCAGATGCACAGAAAGAAGGATGTAAAAGTACAGAAAGAAACATCCAGAGGGGAGAGAGAGAGAGTGTGTGTGTGTGTGTGTGTGTGTCTGTTCGTGCGTGAAATCCAGAAGCAGAGAGAGAGGGAGAAAGAAATAGATTCAAAAGCAGAGAGAAGCAGAAAGAGAGACAGAGATCCAGAAGCAGTGAAGCGTAAACTGTGAAGGAGAGCGAGAGAGAGAGAAAGTGACACAAACAAAGAGAGGGATTGACTTAGAGGCAGAGAGAGAGAGAAAGAGATCCTAAAACACAGAGAGAGAAACAGAGAGAGAGAGAGAGAGAGAGAGAGAGAGAGAGAGAGACCGTGACACAAACAAAGAGAGTGATTGACCTAGAGGCAGAGAGAGAGAGAGAGAGAGATATCCTAAAACACAGAGAGAGAAACGTGTGTGTGTGTGTGAGAGAGAGAGAGAGAGAGAGCGTGACACAAAGAGAGTAATTGATCTCGAGGCAGAGAGAGAGAGAGAGATATCTTAAAACACAGAGAGAGAAACGTGTGAGAGAAAGAGAGAGAGAAACGTGTGAGAGAGAGAGAAAGAGAGAGCGTGACACAAACAAAGAGAGTAATTGACCTAGAGGCAGAGAGAGAGAGAGAGATATCCTAAAACACAGACAGAGAAACGTGTGTGCGTGTGAGAGAGAGAGAGAGAGAGAGAGCGTGACACAAACAAAGAGAGTGATTGACCTAGAGGCAGAGAGAGAGAGAGAGAGAGATATCCTAAAACACAGAGAGAGAAACGTGTGTGCGTGTGAGAGAGAGAGAGAGAGCGTGACACAAACAAAGAGAGTGATTGACCTAGAGGCAGAGAGAGAGATATCCTAAAACACAGAGAGAGAAATGTGTGTGTGTGTGTGTGTGTGTGTGTGTGTGTGTGAGAGAGAGAGAGAGAGAGAGAAGAGAGAGCGTGACACAAACAAAGAGAGTAATTGACCTAGAGGCAGAGAGAGAGAGAGAGAGAGAGATATCCTAAAACACAGAGAGAGAAACGTGTGTGTGTGTGTGTGTGTGTGTGTGTGTGTGTGTGTGTGTGTGAGAGAGAGAGAGAGAGGACGTGACACAAAGAGAGTAATTGATCTAGAGGCAGAGAGAGAGAGAGAGATATCTTAAAACACAGAGAGAGAAACGTGTGAGAGAAAGAGAGAGAGAAACCTGTGAGAGCGAGAGAGAGAAAGAGAGAGCGTGACACAAACAAAGAGAGTAATTGACCTAGAGGCAGAGAGAGAGAGAGATATATCCTAAAACACAGAGAGAGAAACGTGTGTGCGTGTGAGAGAGAGAGAGAGAGAGAGCGTGACACAAACAAAGAGAGTGATTGACCTAGAGGCAGAGATAGAGAGAGAGAGATATCCTAAAACACAGAGAGAGAAACGTGTGTGTGTGTGTGTGAGAGAGAGAAAGAGAGAGCGTGACACAAACAAAGAGAGTAATTGACCTAGAGGCAGAGAGAGAGAGAGAGAGAGAGATCCTAAAACACAGAGAGAGAAACGAGAGAGAGAGAGAGAGAAACAAGAGAGAGAGAGAGAAACGAGAGAGAGAGAGAGAAATTTATTGTTTGATGCGTTTCCTGAAGGCAAGCAATGCTCATTTCCTCAAAAGCAAGTAATGAATATTAATTTTTTCTCTCCCAAATAACACAAAACTGCAACGCTGGAAGCAAGGAAACGTTTGTCCTCTACGATGACAGTTTTTACCATATGTAAATACATTACTTTAAACTGCATATATTATATATATATTCATAACATTTTCTCACACTTCATACATGTAAAATTATTAGCATTTCAGGAACTCTCTAAAATTATTAAGTTTTTCAGAGAGATAAAAGACTTGTATTAATAAAAAATAATTCTTGTAAAACTGTACTGACATTGTAAAGTTTATAAGCTTAAAAAAGATATAATATATATATATATATATATATATATATATATATATATCGACAACACACACATCTCTATCTATAAAAGGCAGGATGCGCGCGCGTGTGTGTGTGTGTGTGTGTGTGTGTGTGTGTAACGAATGCACGGCAGCAATTTTCGACGGATTTGCACCAAAATTTACATGCACATGCTCCAAGTTAGTGGAAAGGCCAAGACCGACTTTGCATTTCCCAACTCCCATCGATAATGGAAATAATCGACTTTTTCATGCTTCTACGGCAGTTTTCATGTAGTTTGCAGCCATTTTCTACTGGCCAGAGTGACAGCCTATAGCTAGCTGCCACGAATAGGCAGGAAGATTCTATTGTCCAGCGAAGAGTCAACAGCTGACTGACACGAATGTTAACTCGCATGCTAGCACGCAAAAAAAAAAAAATCGATAGCTGCATTCGTCACAAGTGGGAAAAATTTAAATCTGCATGGCACTTTACTCCAATTAGCTCATTCGCTTGCTTAAACTCAACGTGGATTCTGATGACGCAGATCTGGATTGGGTGTGAAAAAGTATTTGTTGTTAACATTCTTTTTTCATTCGGTTTTTTCCAGTTACGAGTCCTTTTTTAAAGCTGATCGTTTTGTGTTCATTTTGTTTAGTTCTTTTTTCGTAACAGATTTAATATTTAGTATAGAGCTTACAAAAAAATCGCAGTGTGAGATAGGCAAGAAGTAAGGCATGTAGCAACATCAGCACGGCAAAGGGCACTCCTTTAAAGGCAAAGAAGGGCAAAAATATTTTGTCAGGTGATAGCGATTGCTGTATGAGTCGTTGGATTTTTGAATCAAGCACGGGCAACACCGGACCATGCTGCTAGTGCATATATATATGTCTCACAGACAACAATCGATTTTATGGTTATGTCACGAAGTCAACATGTCTTTCAAAATAGTTCAAACGTTCAATAAATTTTGGTTTTACGTGTGAGAATCTTTGAGATGAGGAATTGTTTTTCCCATACACTGATTTATTCGAAACTCTTGCTGTAATAGTGACAAGGTGACGTTTGTTACCCTCACAGACTTATTCAGACTTTTTGGGACGGCATACTAATATATATGTGGGGCCCTGTTTCAGAAATGTAGAAAAATGCTGAAAACTCTTTTTTTCTTTTTTGTACATTGGCAGGCTCACAGAAAGTAACTCGATTTTTGTGCATTCACATGATCCGATTATTTGAATCTTTGTATGCATATATATTAACCAATCAGCGACTTCGTATTCTTTGAATTGGCGGGTGGTAAAATAAATTAGAATGAAATTTTGGAGTTTCAACTTCAGAATATTATGAATATTTTTCTTCCTTTAAAGGAATATTTTAAAAAATTGGGATATATATATATATATATATATATATATATATATATATAATTAAAAGAGTGCTCAATACAAAGTAGAGCAATACTTTGTATTGAGTACTCTTTTAAGAATAGTAATTGTTGGTTATTGGAATTGATTCTGTATATACCAATTATATACTTGGATTATAGCTCCTATTACTGTCGAACCCTGTCTATTCTATTCTTATACTATGGATAGAATCAATTTCGGAGTATCACTTAAGAACATTCCCACTACGAACAAAAGGGATTATTTCGTCCATTTAACTCAGCAAACGGAAAACCATATCAGAAGAATGAGATGGAAAGCTTACTTCTTATGTAAATAATGTAGACATGTCACATAGAACGGCATACATTTAGACGCATTTTGCGTTTATCATATACTAACGCAATTCATTCAAAAAAAAAAAAAAAGAAAAAAGATACGCAAAACATTTTGTGTGATGTTCGCAAAGTATCTTTGTAATTATTTTCTTTCAAATTGAAAGAAAAATAATAGCCAAATAAATAAAAATTATTCAGATTTGTAGATCAGTGTTTGAAGATTCTTATTTCTTCGTTTATACACGCATATTCTGCTACATATATCACTATGACTGAGGCACTTAAAAAAAAATAATAATTCCATAAAATGTATATTTTCCTTCCTTTCAGAATAATTTTGAGACAGCAGTCTACGCAATTTTTTCTCCCATATATTCATATTTTTGTCAGGTCACTCTACGAGTATGGTACAATGTAACCCAGTATTGTCTGCCGCATGGCTGGGTCATCAGTGAATAAACCGGTTTCCCTATCAGATATTTCTGGTGAGGAAGGTCTCTAGTCACTCAGAAGTATAGTCAAAAAGCGGAAGAAATTTCTTTTAGGGTCAACGACCATTTAGATAAATGTGGTTCACCGCTGTGCATCGAGCCAGTGCGATGATGACTCGGCGGAAGGCTTCCTCGACCGAAGTCAATAGCTAATAAGGGGGGGTGCTGCTAGTGGAATCAAAAGCTACGTGCTTGTTATCAAGGCCTTCAAGTTGCACAACAGCTGTAATTTGACCTGAGGAGGGATGGACTCCGCCAGGTCTAATTGCCCAACATACGCTACGAATGAATACCTTCGGCTTTCAGCCCAGATATGTGGAGGGAAGTGATCAGGTGTCCAGCTGTGCAGCCAGCCTACGACCACACCCGGTCAATGGACCGATGATGATGATGATGATATTTTAATATAGGATTTAGAGAGAGTTGGAGAGACTATCCTGACCAGCATTCCAATGTGAGGTACTATAAAACTGCTGATGCGGAGACACACCCACTGACATGCACACACAAAAGATCGACACAAAGAAAAGTTCTATAGGTTTAATAACAATGTCTTATTTCGTGAATGGAGAATTAATTGGAGCGGCCAGTGTTGTTTTTGATATTTTTTTCTTTAACGTTTATAATTTTTTTTTTAAATTTTTTTTTATTTTTTTGCTAATAACTCAAGTCTAAACACGTGTTAACAATTTTCTATCTGTTTCATTTTTTTAAAAAGATATGCATTATGATAGCTATGTAGACGTCTATGTGGCTATGTGTGTCAAGGCCCTAACATGTACATGTAGCCAGCAAAACACAGGAGAGACAGAAAAGTTCTAAGTCCAACCATAAATAAATAAAAATCCCTGGTCAGATCTCAGAAGGACAGGTCGGACTGAAAAGTTTTTTTTAATCACCGTACATACACACATATATATATATATATATATATACATATATATATATATATATATATATATATATACCTGACGATCGCAAAAGCATGAAACCCAGGATCACAAACTCACATCTATCCAACCAAATATGTTAGCTCTATCTCTGATATTGAGTGCTTTCTCATAAGTACCATGCATATAATATATAAATAATTATATATATATATATATATACACACTTTTCACACATATATATATATATATATATATATATATATATATATATATATATATATATATATTTTATATATACATATATTATATATATATATATATATATATATATATATATATATATATATATATATATATATATATGAAATGGATGAAGTCCGATAACTATTTAATATATTTTCTATTTATACGTTATTTTTATACATACAATTTCTTTAATTAAATGCTCTGTTTTTAATTAAACAGTACTAAATACATTTACCGGTCTGAGTGTTGGAGAAATTTCATAGAAAATACGCGTTCTCCGACAAGAATCGAACCTGTATACCTATACGGAAACCGTAATTTGATCAGACGTGCTGTACCATTTAGCTACTGAGAAGCGTCTGGTTAGCAAAGTCCTATTATACTGTTTTTAAACACGCAATCTTCGACGATTTTTCTCGATTGATCATATCTGCTCACGAAACGTATCTTAACGTAAACAATGACAACATATAATGAAATGGATTAAGTCCGGCAAATATTTAACATCTTTTTTCATATACGTTATTTCTACGAAATTTCTCAAACATTCAGGTCGTTAAATCTAATTAATACTGTATAATTAAAAACAAGATTTACTTAAATAAATAGTATCTATAAAAAAATAACTCTTTTTTTCCCCATAAATTATTAATGCGAAGTGACCGCAATACAGGAATTCGAACTCGGCCCACTGATTACGTTTTTATCGTCGATAACCGTTACACAGTAAGTAATACCTCCTTGTTTTAATATTCTGAGATAAGTATGTTCATTCATTTACACCTTTTCACCGGTGTCGCCATTGTATCAGTACATATCAAAAGAGTACACACCTAACTTTGGCACCATTTTATTTTCAGTATTTTTGTAGAAAACAAAAGCGTAACTATTTTGTTACTAATATTCCCCCAGTACAAGGTTCAAGAGCAACTCAAGGTAGAGGCTTACCGTGTGCAGTTGTATTAGTCTAAGTAAGGACAAACTTTAGGAGTATACAGTTGGTATAAATTTTGAAGGGACCGGGAAACCAATCCTAAACAGGAAACAAGGCATAAACATCTACACCTGTACAAAAAGACGGGAGAGGAGTGTGAACCGGGCGATATAGGAACCTAGCTATTAAATAACGTCTATATTAAATATTATGCTTTTTTCTATTATGTGCCGTGACTCTTCAGGACGTAGACGATCATGGCCCTCCACAGCTTACTATCCTTTGTAATTCTTCGCAATAATTCGCCACTTTCCGTTCTGCCATCCATTTAAACAAAGTCTTTGGGTAAGTTCCTCGATGTCTTCCTCTGTTCCTTCCCCTTCAGTGTGTCATGTGAATGTTAAATTTTCCAAGCCCTCTTT